TTATATATATCATAAATAAAAAAAAATTACAGATATATGAATAATATATATATAGCAAATAATTAATTATTGATATATAATAATAAATATATAATATATAAAGAATTATAGATATATCTACTATGAAAGAAAAAGATAAACAAAAAATAGAATGATTTATACTAAGTAAAGTGGAGAGAAGTAAAGTGGTGAGAATGATCAATGAGATTTCTTAAACACATACTCAAAATTAGTTATGCCTTTGGGTTATATATGAATTCGGAAGACAAGGGGTTGGTGCAGTCTTATGCAATGAATTAGGTGATTTTTACAATAGAAACAATTAGTAATAATCCTTACTCCAAAAAATTTATAATTATAACTGAAATCATAAATGCATTTGCAAAAACAAACACGTATACTAGTAAATGGGTATATTGCCTAACTAAATAACTCATATTATGTAACGTCTTTACCTGTGGTGCATGCCCCTTTTTCATTCATTAAAACTGAGTTTTTGCAGAAATAATTATAATCTCACATTACCAGTAGAAAAGGTGTTACATAATAAAGGCTATTGGGTTAGACAATATACCTCTTTACTGTATATTTATTTGTTTTTGCAAGTACATTAATGATTTCAGCTATCATTAAAAATTTTTAAGAGTAAGGATTATTACTCATTGTTTCTATATCAAAAACCATCCAATTAATTGCATAAGACCGCACTGATACCCTCTATTGCCAAATCACATATAACCCAAACACATAACTCATTTTCATATATATTTGAGAAATTTCACTGATCTTTCTCGCCCTTTTATTTCTCTCCACCGTACTTAATATAAATTATTCTCCTTTTTATTTATCTTTTTCTTTCATGGTTGATATGTCTATAAATCTTTATATGCTATATATTTATTATTCATATATTTATAATATTTTATCTGTTATATATAGATATATATATTCGTCATATATTTATAATTTTTTATCTATAATATATCTACGTTATAAATATTTGTTGCTACTAAACTAAAAAAAATAAGCATATCGCAGTGTTTGTGGTAATGTGATATTATAATTATTTAGGTAAATACTCATTTTTAGAGAATGAAAAATATGCATGTACCATTGGCAAAGATGTTACATAATAAGAGTTGTTGGGTTATGCATTATACCCCTTTACTAGTATATGTGTTTGTTTTTATAAGTGCATTTATAATTTCAATTATAATTATAAATTTTTGGAAGTAAGGATCACTACCAATTATTTCTATTGCAAAAATCACCAAATTCATTGCATAAGATTGCCTCAACCCCATCTTTTCCCACATAAAACATAAAGACAAAACTCATTTTCAGTTTGTCTTATACAACGAATTGTGTGGTTTTTTAGATAGAAATAATGGATAGTAATAAATACTTCCAAAAATATCTAATTATACCTGAAATCATAAATGCACTTAGAAAAAAAATACGTATATTAGTAAATAGATACATTGCTTTACCCAACAACCACTATTATATAACGCCTTTGCCAGTGGTACATTTCCTTTTTTCTCTCTATAAAAATGAGTTTTTAGATAAATAATTACAATATCACCTTATCACAAACATTATTATACTTTTATTTTTTTCAAGTTCAATAATAACAAATATTTAAAATTTAGATATGTCACATACAAAAAATTACACATACAGCAGATAAATTATTATAGATATATAAATAATAAATATATAATATATAAAGAATTATAGATATATCAACCATGAAAGAAAAATATAAATAAAAAAGAGAATGATTTATACTAAATAGAATAGAGAGAAGCAAAATGGCGAGAGGAATCAGTGAGATTTCTCATACACGTACCGAAAATAAGTTGTCTTAGGATTGTATATGAATTGAGAATATAGGGAGTTGGTGCGATCTTATTCAATTAATTGGGTAATTTTTGAGATAGAAACAATGATTAGTAATCCATATTCCCAAAAATTTATAATTATAGTTGAAATCATTAATGCACTTGCAGAAAAAAATACGTATACTAGTAGAAGAATATATTGCCTAACCCTACAGCCCCTATTATGTAACACGCCTTTGCCAGTGGTACATGTTCTTTTTTCTCTCTCTAAATATGTATT